CCCCGAGCTCCTTTTAAGGGCTCATCCCGCCCCGGCGCGGGCAGGGGGTTCCGGTGTCCGCCAGGGACCCGGGACGGGCGACCCTGAGTGTTTCCAGCCTTTTTCCCTTGGTCTTTTCCCAGCAGCAAGAAAACCCACCCTTTCCTTTGTCCCGCCACCCATCCTGCCTCCTCCTCCAGGAAGCCTCCCAGGGGGACCTGTTGCCTGGCGCTTTTAAGATCACAGCCCTGGCCCTCACGCCCCCAGCGCGGCCCTTGGTGTCGGGACTCTGGCATCACTGCGGAAGCTAGGCTCATGGGAAGAGGGGTGAGAGCCCCCCTTCTAAGGCTTCATAGCCAATATGGGTTCAGCTTCCAGACACCTAATCCACCCGGTTACCGTTTCTCCTGCTGGGAGCTAACGAGCTGCACGTGTGGGCAGTCTGTTGCCTAAACGGGCATTTGTTATAGAACCTGGCGCCCTGTCCTGCCTACAGCAACTGTGGGGTCGCTGGTGAGCCTGAAGCTCACCTGGCCGTTCCCCTGGGCCTCAGGGTAAAATGCTGGCCGCGATGAGGCAGGAGGCTCCCCAAGAACCCAGACACTTCAGATCTACTGAGTGCGCCTTCCCCTGGGGGACCTGGGCGGGTCCCCTCACTTCTTGGGCTTTGGTGTCCCCAGCTGTAAGTACAAAAGCCAAGGGGAAGTAAATCTAAAATGCCACGATGTGACTCGGGCCTGAGAGGGTTTTGGAATCAGCCCCATCTTCTGGAAAGCACTCCAGACTGGAGTCCAGAAGGGGACAGGAGCCTCACTACCCCCATTCCCTGTCCCCTGTCCCTCAATGGCCGGCTGACTACCCGCCCATTGACAAGAGAAGCCACGGCAACCCAGCCCGCTCAGGGGGTAACAAGAAGGAAAACTTTTCCCGGACTGGACATGAATTTTGACTCCGCTGAGCTTTGTTAGGGTGATCCCAGTGAGCCAGCTGTGTTATTAAGACTCCAAAGTACCGAGGAATTTGTTTCCATCACACCCTAGGTCAGAGCTGCGCACACAGCCGATGGCCCAGGGCTTTCCTTTGATGTAGGAGCTGGGCAAGTAGGAGGCAAGTTCCAACCCCATTGCTCTGCCTGTCCTGTGTGTGGCCGGTATAGACAGACTGCTTCCCAGTGGGGACCTGTGGGGAGAAAACCAATGTCACCAGAGGGCTCCAGGGCTGGGGACACGTTCCGGGTCTGTGCGCGTGAACTCTGCCACTTCCCAGCTTGTGTGACGCGTCTTACAGCCAGGAGCTCCTGACTCTGCCCCTGCTGGGAGTCAGGCTTGGGAAGACAAGTGCCCACCTTGAGGCTGCCTGTTCCTCATCCTCGGTCTCCTTGCCCTCTCCAGCCGCCCACGGTGGCCCGGAAAGGCCTCAGGAATCGAGTTCCTTAGTGTTAGGCCCTCCAATAAGCTATCTGGCCCTTGTGGGCCTCAGTTCTTCATCTGTAAAATAGGCAGATTGTGAAAGGTTAAGGAACAAGGAGTGCCACACTCAGAGCTTGGCTCCGGGCCCCAAAGAGCAGCGGTGAGTTCCTGCTGCTCCATCTGCACCAGCAGCACACAGCTCTCACGCACCAACCCAGAACTCAGTGGGCAGAAGTTTAGAGGGTGGAGGTCTGGAGCCTTGAGCTCAGGGAGAGGTCAGTCTGTCAGGGCAAGCAGCCGGATTCTCCTCCCCACCCCAGGCCACCAAGGCTGTTGCTCGATTAGGAAGGGCAGGCGTGCAGCAGGTACTTGTCTCCCGTGTGAACTGCAGCTGGCGAGGCCTTCCTGATGCCAGGTGTCTCCAGGAGCCACTCCGTGAAAGCTAAGCACGTACAAGCCCTTTGCAATGCCACTGCCTCCCCGGGGACAAGACAACCATCCTGCGGTAGTCTGATGATAAATTCAGATGTCAAAGCTGGCCGGAATCCTAGAAGTCAGATCCAAACTCCACTTTCCAGATGCAGAACTGAGCCATCGAGGGGCTGGAGAGCTTCTGCAAGCCAAGTCAAAGCCCAGGCAAGAGCCAGGTGTGATGGCGCACAGCTGCAATCCCAGCACTCTTGGGAGGCTGAGGCAGGAGAATTTTGAGTTCCAGCCAAGCTTACATAATTTAGGGACTGGGAAAAAAAATTGTAAAGGGCTGGGGGTATAGCCCAGTGCAAAGGCCCTGGGTTCAATCTCCAGGAACACACACACACACACACACACAGCCCAGGCAGGGATTCTGACTCCTCCAGAGGTTTTCCTTCTCGAGGTCCAGGCAGTGCAAGCTACTCACTACCTCGTGGGCAGAAGCTTCATTATGAATGGGGGGAGCCAGGGCTTCCCCATCACTTGCAGCGGGCGCTCCCAGAGCAAGGACCATGTCTCCTCCATCGGACTGGAGGATCCCCTGGGACAGTCCCCATCTGATCAGGAGGTCCCCCAGGGTGGGACTAGGGTTCCACTGGACAGACCCCTACTGTGCGCCGTGCGGACCGACGCAGAGTGGAACAAGGCCCAGCCTGCGCTGCAGAAAGGCTGAGTCTGACGCGGATTCCTTCCCGGCCCTCACCCCCTCCTCGCACGGCGTGGGGGGTGCACAGTGGAGAGGGCGGGAGCGCGGGGTCGCCAGGGCCTGGGAACTCCGTGGGCCGTCCACAGCCAGGATGCTGCCGCGTCCTCTCCAAGTCCCAGAGGGACGCTCCGCGTCTGGGAGGAGGAAAGGCTCCCAGCGGCAGGCAGCAACCCCGGGGCTCGGGGTGGGGCCCAGGGTTGCTCCTCGCCCCGCCCAGAGCCACGCCCCACTCGGTGACCCCCCTCCCCGCGCCCGCCTGCGGGAGGTGGAGAGCGGGCGGCTCACTAGAACCAACCCACTCAGGGGGCTGGGCCGGGGACACCTGGAGCTGGGCGGGCAGCAGCTTCCGCCAGGAGGGGTCAAGCTCCCTTTGGTGCAGGGGCCGGGGCGGGTCCTTCTGGTGGTGGCCAGCGGCTACCCGGTGACGGGAATGAGCCATCTGGACCAGAACTGTAGCCCTGGCAGCCGTCCCCAGTCCTCCCGCCCGACTTGAGCCTCGCAGCAGGCAGCGAGGTTACAGTGGTACAGGTGACAAGACGCGTCCAGGGTTGGCCTAGGAGCAGGGCCCAGCGTCGGGGCACAGGCTCTGTCGTCGCTTGTCCCCATTCCGAGCCAGGAAAATCTCCTTCCATCTGCACGCCTCCCCTCCTCCCCTGTAAGCTGGGGACAGGCAGACCTCGCCCCAATACTGCAGCCTGTGGCAAAGACACAGTCAGTCCTGGCACCGCAGAGCCAATGCCAAGCCGCCACTTGTCCCCAAGAGGGGGTGTCATGCCTGCTGCCCGGACCTTCCAGGCCCTTTCAGCCAGTGCCCGGCCGCAGGGAAGATGAGAAGCTGGCAGGGGGCCTGGGACAGTACTCAGGGGGACTCCTGCCTACTCCCCGGCTGCCGCCTCCTCTTCCTGTCTGGTCCCTGGGGCAGAACATGGGAGATATTTCTGGCTGCCTCCTACAGGCCTCCAGCTTCCCAGGCTCAGACAAGTGGACCCCACATGCCGGCACCACCCGGGTGGAGTGAGCGGGTGGGAGGCACATTGCTGGGGTCTGCAGGTTCGCGCTGGGCATCTGCAGCACTGAGTCCTGAGGGGGTGGGATGTGCCCCTCCTCCCCGCCTCCTGCCGGCGAACTTCTCCACAAGGGCACTCACCGTCCTGCAAGGGTCTGGGCCTCGGTTTCCAAGTGGCACAGGAAGAGGATCATAAACTCCTTCCCACCTGACACCTAAGACCCAGAGTCTTAGGGTTAGGTTTAGGGTTAGGGTTAAAGTTCTGCCACCTAGGAAAGTTTCGCCATGGGCTGAGCAGCAGGAGGCCTGGGCTATTCCCTTTCCCTCTGCCCCAGCCACCCCTCCTGCTAATATGGAAATGGTTGGACCTAGGAGCCTGACGCTCCATCTAACTGCCCAGCACCTGTAGCACAGGGAGGCAGCAAAGCACAGTGGTCAGAAGTACACACTCTAGACCAGTGATGGTGAAACTTTGAGAGCTTTCGGTGCTAACAGCTGGCTGCAGCACCTGTACCATAGCTGTTCACCACCACTGCTCTAGATTCAAACTGGCTGCTTCTGGCCCTAGGTCTGTCACTCTCCGGCCATGTGACCAAACTTCTTGGTTCCCAGTATCCTCATCTATGAAACAGAGCCAGTATGTCGCAGTTTAAGCCTTTTGCATGCTGGTCAACCTTAGCTCTCTGGGAGGCTGAGGCAGGAAGATTGCAAGTTCAAGCCCAGCCTAGGCAAGTTAGTGACTTAGTAAGACCCTGTTTCACAATAAAAATAAATAAAATTTAAAAACTATAAAGGGCTGGGATGTAGCTCTGTGCAAAGGCCTTGCATTCGATCCCCAGTACCACACACACACAGTTAGCTGTTATTATTTCCACAACTCTTCTTCCCATCCACAGGCGCACCCCGCTCCCATTTTCCTTCTCTTCAGTTCCAGAATCACAAGGCAAGGGTGGGGTCCGGCAAATGGACAGCGGACATCAGCTGCTCACTTCCATCCCGCCAGGGATTATTTGCACATGTAGTTAGTTTACTGGCCACTCACCTGCAAAGCAGGAATGCTACTCGTCCCCTTTTACACAAACAATACCGCGGCTCACAAAAGCACTGGGCTCACCTAGAAGCAGGGGCAGAAACTCAGGCCACATTAGAACCCTGGTCCTGGGCCACTCGTTTTGCTCAACTCCAGCTCAGCCTGCCCTTCTTAGCCGATGGCCTGGGGTGGTTACTAATCCTGTCCTGGCTTCTTTCTGCTGAAGCCCCCTGGACAAGCCGCCCAAACTGGGCCTCATTCAGAATGCTTTCCAGACACCGCCCCAATCTTGTGAAGTAGGTGTCACTTTAAAGATAAAGAAAGCGAGGCCAGAAGTTAGGACCCTTGCTTTGCACAAGGGCACGGGGTGAGAGTTAACCGGGCTATTTGCACGACAGGGCTATCCGTGCAGGCGGCGGCTGCGGGGCCCAGCATGCAGTAGGCGCCCGGTGTCGGGTCACTAGTGTCACTACTTCTCCTATCAGAGTGACCCCGCAGGTCTCCGGATGCCCTCCGGGCCTGTGGCCACGCAGCTTGCAGGCTACCACATCACATGAGCCGTACTATCTTTAGCCGGGGAGGTATTTATATCCCGGAGGAAGTTGTTCCGCAAGGGGAGCCCCAGCACCGGTGGCCCGCGGCTCCCGGCCCCGGCGGCCCAGCATGCCGCGGGGCCCCGAGGTCCCCGTGCAGGTGTGGGTGGACGGCCAGCTGTTCCAGGCCGAGCAGGGCCTGCTGGTGGAGCACTGCGGCTTCTTCCGCGGCCTCTTCCGCTCGGGCATGCGGGAGGCGCGCGCCGCCGAGGTGCGCTTGGGGGCGCTGAGCGCCGACGGCTTCCGCACGGCGCTGCAGGTGCTGCGCGGGCAGCGGCCGGCGCTGGCGGCCGAGGACGAGCTGCTGCAGGCCGTGGAGTGCGCCGCCTTCCTGCAGGCGCCGGCGCTCGCGCGCTTCCTGGAGCACAGCCTCACGTCTGACAACTGCACGCTGCTGTGCGACGCGGCCGCCGCCTTCGGCCTGCGCGACGTGTTCCACAGCGCCGCGCTCTTCATCCGCGACGGCGCCTGCGAGCTGGCGGCCGGGCTGGCGCTGCCCGAAGCCCGCGCCTACGTGGCCGCCCTGCGGCCCAGCTGCTACGTGGCGCTGAGCACGCACACGCCCGCGCCCGGCTTCCTGGAGGACGCGTCGCGCACCATGTGCTACCTGGACGAGGAGCAGGACGCGTGGCGCACGCTGGCCGCGCTGCCCCTAGAGGCCAGCACGATGCTGGCGGGCGTGGCCACGCTGGGCAACAAGCTGTACATCGTGGGCGGCGTGCGCGGCGCCAGCAAGGAGGTGGTGGAGCTGGGCTTCTGCTATGACCCCGACGGCGGCACATGGCGCGAGTTCCCCAGCCCGCACCAGCCGCGCTATGACCCGGCGCTGGCCGGCTTCGACGGCTGCCTCTACGCCATCGGGGGCGAGTACCAGAGGACGCCTGTGAGCTCCGTGGAGCGCTACGACCCGGCCGCGGGCTGCTGGAGCTTCGTGGCCGACCTGCCGCAGCCCGCCGCGGGTGTGCCCTGCGCCCAGGCGCGCGGCCGCCTCTTCGTGTGCCTGTGGTGGCCCGCGGACACCACGACCATCGTGGAGTATGTGGCGCGGACCGACACGTGGCAGCCGGTGGCCGAGCTGCGGCGTCCGCAGAGCTACGGCCACTGCATGGTGGCCCATCGCGACAGCCTCTACGTGGTGCGCAATGGACCTTGCGACGACTTCCTGCACTGCGCCATCGACTGTCTCAATTTGGTCACTGGCCAGTGGACGGCACTGCCAGGCCAGTTTGTCAACAGCAAGGGAGCGCTCTTCACGGCCGTCGTGCGCGGGGACACCGTCTACACGGTCAACCGCATGTCCACGCTGCTGTACGCCATCGAGGGCGGCACCTGGCGGCTGCTCAGAGAGAAGATCGGCTTTCCCCGGCCCGGCTCCCTGCAGACCTTTCTGCTGAGGCTGCCCGCTGGAGCTCCCGGGCCCGTGGCCTTGCCTTTGCCAGAACTGTGAACTCAAAAGTGGCTTTAGAAGAAGCACCCAGAGTCGTCCCTGAGCCGAGGCTGAGTGTGAAGCTGGCCGCTGAGAACTTCTGACCTCTGGAGACGCTCAGTTCTTGGTCTAGTGTCCTGAACCGAGGAGCTCAGGGAGCGCCAGAGCCCTCAGAGCACTTGGCCTCTGCTGGGAGCTGGTGGGTCACAATGTCAGCAGGAGGGGTAGGTGCTTAGGATTTGGATAACCCACGCTTGTACGTGACTGGGCCACTAATCCAGCATGGCTAGTCGTGGGTTAGGTGATAGTAACCAAACTGCCGGTCAGCGGGCAAGAACTAGGTGCCTCATGTGTGCCCGATACAGTGCTAGGCCTAATGAGAGGTGTGGTCACTGGTCAGATCTAACCCAGAAAAGCTCAGCCCTAACAGGACAGGTTGGGACAACAAAAGGTTTACACATTCGTCTCCCTCCACAAAGGATTGAAAGCAACATATTGGTTAAAAAAAAAAAAAAAAAAAAGGCACCTTTGGGCAAAAGGGACATAAGGAGAAGAGAAATTAATAACCTCCGGAAGGAGGAGAGTGGACGGATTGTAGATGCACCCCGAATCTTGGGGCAGGGGGTGAGGCCGTGCAGCAAGCACAACTGAGCTGGTCCTGGCGCAGCCTGTGGGGGAGGAAAGGGTTCCCTACACCCCCCTTGGGGACATAGAACATCAGGGAGCATGCAGGTGTAAGCCCTCTGCCAGTGCCCTTTTCTGCCACCCCCGCAGGGACAGTGGAGTATTAACCCTCACGCATCAGGTTGTTCAAGGCGTGAGCCCAGTCCTGCCTCACCTCCTCCGCGTGTGCCTTCGTCTGCAGCCTGCAGGTCCCACGGCTCTCCCCGCCGATGCGCCTGCCCTCCCCCGGGCCTGGAATAAATGCCTTTCCTGTCCCGCTCTCTGTGAGCTGGGTCTCCCCCTCCTCTGTGCAGGGTCAGCTGACCCAGCTCCTTGTTTGCCTGACCTGGGCTGCCAGCATTGCTCATTGGACCCCTGGCTGTGACGTCACTCTCAGTGTTGGTGTGTCCGTGTGTATACACGCAGTAGCCGCACACAGTATTCAAGGCGGAGGCCTTGTGCTGGTAGCTGGGGGCATTTCCACACCTGCAGAGTAAAATGAGGCTTTACAAGAAGCCAAGCTGTGGGGGCCGCTAGATAGGGACCTGCCACGGACTTGCACTGTTAGACAGTCTCGTCCCCCTTTGGACATCCAGGACCGGCTTCTGGGCAGGAAGCTGGTGTCGGGCTGCCCCAGTGTCCCAAGTCTGCAGAAGGCCACCCTCATGGCCCGGGACCGTCCAGCCCTGGAATATATGTCCTTGTCCAGTGAGTGACAATAGTAAACTCTGATTTTTTAGCTTCCGTGAATGCTATAGTACTTTGATGTCCTTCTCCTGGGAGCCGTGCCCTTGCCGTGTGACCAGTGAGATACATGGAGAAGCTGACCGACTGGCCCAAAGCCGCCCAGCATGGCAGCGCCCCTCAGTTCCGGTTGTGCTGAAGCATATTTTATATCACGTGTCAGTGAGTGATTGGACTCATAATGGAACCAGAAAAACGCAAGGCCAGTTGGGAAGAGTGTTTGAAAGGCTAAGATTTGTATATGTAGTTGGGAAAGACATGCTGAAATACGTTTGCTGAGTTAGAGATGAAGCTGGATAATGTCTTAGAGGGCAATAAAACCATCATGCTCTGGCTCTGTCCTGGAAGGAAGCCTTCTGCCCCTTCACATACGTGCAGACCATACGTGGGCACATGCTCCCGCAGGCTAGCATGGGCCCTTGTGACGTGTGAGCCCTGGTCAGCAGCAAGCTGGGAGAACGAAGGTGCACGCCCCTTAGTAATTAAATAACTTTGATGCTCAGCCCTGCCCCAGGGGTGCTGAAGAGACCTGTGGTTCTTTTGCCCTGCTCCCAAAGTTGTCCCTTCCTTTCACTTCCCACTCCTCCCCTCCCCTTCTCTCCCTCTCCTTCTAACCCAGGGCTTTCACACTGAGCTCCACCCCCTGCCCATTTTTATTTTGATACAGGGTCTTGCTATGTCATTAAATTGCCCAGGATGGGCTCCGACTTGCAATCTTCCTGCCTCAGCCTCCTAGAGCACTGGCGTTACACGCATGTGCCACCGCAGCCATTTGGATCATTTCTCTGAACGGCACAGGGCACTTCCTCCTTGCTCTTGCCTCCTGACCAGTGCTGAACATGTGAAATGCGTGACCCTGAGACCCGTCAGCTTGGGCTCTCCCACCCCCAGAACTGCTGGGCTGCGCAGCCTGGGCCTGTTGACTCCCTGCGTTTGGTGGGTCCTCCGCCCGGAGCAGCAATTCTGAGATGTCTTTTGTGCAGATTTATAACAGCACAGTATTCACACGGAGTGAACTGTTTCCCACAGTTGACTTGCTGGAGTTTTTTAAATGTTTTGTTTGTTTGTTTTGTGTTTTTGAGGCAGGGTCTCACTATGTAGTGCTGACTGTCCTTGAGCTCATGGTGCTCCTCCTGCCTCAGCCTCCTGAGTGCAGGGATTACAGGCATGCGCCACCATACCAGTGTCACAAATTTTAAAGCATGCTACCGGGAACTGTGGGTGAAGCTTTTATGCCCCCCAACCTTCTCCTATGGCCCCTCAGGGTTAAGGCTCTGGATTCTTCCCTCGAGCCCCCCGCCTCTCAGCCAGGGTGATCACTGGGGTGGTCACCGTGCCTGGTTTGCGGGTGAGGAAGACAGCAGGAAGCTGACACGCCCCTCCGGAAGCCCCACAGCCTGTGAAGCGCGAGGCAGGAGTAGGGACTCAGCCTCTCATACCCTGGCCCCTCGACCACTGCAGGGTGTTTGAGGGCGCAAAGTGGGTGCAGGAGGGCCCATTACAGAGGCACTAAGGAGTCCCTGAGTCCAGAAGGCCGAGTCTGAAATCTCTGTCAGAGGCCCGAGGCTGACTCTGAGGGGTTAGCAGAGAACACGTCAACGTGGTGGCCGCCCTGCGGACAGACTTTCTGGAGCTCCGTGCAGTCTTCCACAAGCTTCCCCCAAGACTTTGACCCTGGGAGTCTGGCACCCACGCCCTCCTGGTCCTCCGTGTGTTTGTGCAGCTTGAGGGACTGGGGCAGGAGAGGCCAGGCCTTCCCATGGCCCCCCTTGGGGGGCCTGTGGCCTTGCTTGCCGCTCCAGCCTGTGGGCACGGCAACCGGATGTGTCACTCCTCCCCACAGAGCCCTTGGGTGGCTCTTCACCCACCGGAGCAAAACCCAGAGGCGTTCAGGATCTCGCCCCCTCATTTCCTCCCCGGCTTCAATCCTGTCACCGTCCCGGCCTCACTGCCGCTCCTCAGACACACAGGCCCACTCCCAGCACCGGGCACTTGATCCCAGTCCCTCTGCCTGGCTTCACCTCCCTCCCTTCCATCCCTGCAGGTCTCTGCTCAGATGTCACTGTCATTCTGAGGCCATTCCTGACCTTCAAGTCCGTCTCCCCTTTCCCTGCCTTCCCTACTTCCTGTTCCTGTTTATTTTCCTCCAAAACATGTAGCATCACTTTTCACGCTGCTCTTACCTTTACTCACTGTCTCTTTCCTCCTGCTAAAATCTGACTTCATGAGGGCAGAGGTTTTTCGCGGCGGGGGTGGGGCTTGTTTTGCTTTTTGGTATTGGGGAATAGAACCCAGAGCAGGCTGAGCAAGCCCTCTACCAATGAGCTACACCCCCAGTGCAGCCAGGACCTACAACAGCGACTAGAACATAGCAGGGGCTTCCTGAATATTTGCTCAATGGGTGAAGAGCGCTCACTGGACGTCTGCTGAATGAATGCATGAATCCGCTGCTCATTCAATCAGGGGAAACTCACAGGGAGATAGACAGCAAGCTTGGGTCTCAGAGGGGAGGGCACTGTTTCTGCAGGGCCCTGGGCGCGTGCAGGTGGCCAGGAAGACTCGGCAAAGCCCGCCGCACAGCGGGGGAGAGCGCGGACCGAGAGCAGCCGCTTTCCTGGGCCACATCTCTTCCTTCCAGGGAGAGGACGAGGCGGGGCCGGCAGTGCTAATCGGCCCATGAAGAATGGCCACTCTTGGCTGTGGAGTACACACCGGGCCCGTCTGTTTATTTTCCTTTGGCTCCGAGCAGCTGGGGCTCTTTTACATCCTAATTGCTTTGCTTCAAGTTGCTGTCACTTCTCTGAGCAGCAGAAAATTAACTGTGCCGGGGGAAGGCACAGCTGTCCGGAGACGGGCCACCTTTGAGCGTGCAGATCCCGGACCTGGGAGGGACATGGGACGCCACTGGGGGGGCTCATCCCAGCAGGTTCTCTGCAGCCCCAGCTGGAGTGGTAAGCAGGAAAAAAGGGGACCCCTCTGAGATGTCTCAGCAGCTATGAACAGCAAAAGGGAACCTTTGTGGGGCCGTGGGGTATCGGGGTGGGGTGTACACATCTCATCCACCCACGTTTTCACAGGGCAGGGAGGTGAGATCAGGGCCAGGGAACTCACCTGGAGACGTGCAGCCGCAATAAAAGGGCAGGTGGCCAAGCTAAAGCCTGTGTCCTCTTCCGGCCATGCAGGGCTGGTGCTTGTGCTCCTGCCAGGACATCCAGGGGGAGAGCTCCACAGTGAGCCCTCAGGCCTGTCCTCCCTCACCCCACAGCTCCACCCTTCTTTCTTCCTGTAAAGATCACCCCTCTCAGCTGGGCCCGTAATCCCAGCATGCCTGTAACCCCAGCACTCTGGGAGGCTGAAGCAGGAAGATCGCACGTTTGAGCCCAACATGGGCAACTTAATGGCTTAGCAAGACCCTGTCTCAAAATAAAAAATAAAGAGGGGTGGGGTGAGGGGAGTGTAGTTCAGTGCAAAGGTCAACACCACAAAATAAATTAATGCCAGCTCTCTGTGTCCCATTCTTTTTGCATTCTGGTTCAGCAAAGAGAAATAAAGGAGCTGGTAGTATTTGGACATTTGGGCCCTTGGAATCTTGGAATCCTCTCTCTCTCTTTCTCTCTCTCTCTTTTCTCTCTCATATACACACACACACACACACACACACACACACACACTTTGCCCCCTCATAGGCCTAGCAGCTTCTCTCTAACTAGTTTCACTCTCCCCAGGGCTTGCAAAAAGGTGCTAACCTCAAAGGGCTCATTAGCAGAGGGCAGCCCCACACTCAGACAGGGCTGGCTCTGCCTGGCCGCAGGCTAACTTCCGCCCACACACCCCTCCCTTCCCTGTACCTTTCTCTTCCACCTTCCCGCCCACCCTTCGCGGACCCCTCCGGCAAGGAGGGCACAGTGCAGGGAGTGGGACGCCGTCCCGCAGGACATACTTGGCACCCAGTGGGGCAGAAGCTGGTGGAGCCACTAAGGCTGGGCTTTGGCACTGGGGACCTGGGTTCCTGCCCCAGCTGCGAGACTTGCCAGCAGCGTGACCCTGGCAAAGCTGGTTTCTGTATGAACGGACATGGAGAGGTTGACACGACCTTCCGCAGTGGCACCCGCCGATGAGCCGCGGCCTGCCTTTCGAGGCTGGAGGCAGGCTGCAGCCTGGGTGTGGAGAGCCCAGAACTTGGGCCTTAATCTGCAGGAAATGGAGAGCTGCAGGGTAGATTTGGGGACGTGTCAGAGAGTGGGACCCCAAACGCTGCCCTGCGGGGCTCCCAGGAGGGGCACCGAGAAAGGGGCGGCCAGCAGAGCTGAGGTCAGGGCCCTGTTGCTGGGCTCCTCCCTTCTTCCTCCGTTGCCCCAGGTCACCGCTCCCACCAGGTGGTCTTCCCCCGAGCAGCCCCTCAGTCCCCTGGGTGGGGTGGCCACCGCTCCAGGCCCGGCTATCCCCAGCTCGCCTGTCCCTGGAGTGGCCTTGCCCGTGTAAACAGCCCCGCCCCTTAGCTCTCCTCTAATGACTGGCTTGAGTGATGGTGCTGTCATCCTCTCCTGGCAGGCGCCGCTGGCTGTGCGCCCTGTTCCCCTGGGCCTCGGCTCTCTGGGCCTCTGTCCCTGGGTGGCGAGGCTCAGGCACAGTGAGGGATGCTGGGAAATGTCCCTCTCAGCACTTGGCCCCCTGTTACGGTGGTGGGAACCCAAGGACTGTCTTCCAGGCAGGGCTAGTGCCTCGGTAACTGGAAGCTGGGGTCTGGCCTCCCAAAGCCCTTGAATTTGAGGGAAAATATTGACCTTAAGGAGCTCTCTGAGGAGTGGTTGGGAATGGAATCAGAAGCAGATACACGAGCTTCTGGGCATCCGGCCTCTGCCACCTCTAAATGGGCCTGGCTCTCACCGTCCCGTGAGACCTGACCACTGCCAATTTACCCAAGGGGCCAGAGGGGCCATGGGGAGCCCTGGAGACCCTTGCGCCAGGCCTGACCCTGCTACGCAACAATGGACTGGTTGCCTCACTTCCCTGGGCCCCACGTTGTGTCTGTCACCGAGGATGACAGCCTGTGTCTGGTGCACACACTAGCCATGGGCTCTGGTGAGAGCTCACAGTGGGGGACCGGCCTAGCGGGGCCAGTTCTAGCACTTTCAGGCTGTGTGACCTGGGGCAGTTGCTTAACCTCTCTGAGGCTCATCCACCAGTGGGCACAACAGGGCCTGTTTGAGACAATCAGATCCCAGCCCACGTCAGTGATCCAGAAACCTCTGCGGGGCAGCCATGGATTGGCCTGGCGGTAGCAGTCAGCTTGGCCACGTGGCATGCATAGGACCCCCAAGAGGAAATCACCTCCCACCATTCCTGCTGTGGGCTCAACCCCTAGTGCCCCCTGATTTAGAGGGTGCAGGACAGTGCTCCCCCTGGTGGAGCTGAGAGGGAGGTACATGTGGAGCAAAGGGGAAGCCAATGGGGGTTCTCCCATCTGCCTGAAGAGCTAGATGTCAAGGAAGTGTCGTCTCCGTGAGCTGTCCCTGAAGGCCCTGCACCCCGCAAGAGCTCAAACAATTTCTCTTAGCTTGGCCTCCTACCTTGAACCCTCAAAACAGCTTAGGACAGCCATAGGCTAGCTCCTTGGCCACCTGCCTCTAGAAGGCAGGGGTTGGGATGACAGAACAAACTTCCTCATCATAGGGACAGGGCTGGTGGCTTCCCTGACCAGCAGCACCACTGCTGTCTTCAGAGCTCAGGCTGCTTCTGAGCACTCGGGGCCAGTGACCCAGGCTGGCCCCTGCTCAGCCCTGCGGCCATGTAAAAGGTGCCCTGCGCTGACGACGGGGCACGCCACAGTGCTGTCCACGGGCACGGGAGGCCTCGAGCAGATTCACACCAGGACCTCCCAGCAGACACCAGGGCCTCTCGTTCACCCCGGTCCTGGCTACCTTGGTCCCTCTGGGCTCTGAGGCCTGGTCGCTAAGCACCGTGGGTGCTGTCTGGGGGGTCTTTCACCTGGGAAGTCAGCGAAACCTCTTTGAAAGGATTCCCTTTGAGCTCAGCATGCTCCACAGGCCCCTTCCTGGGTCCCCTCCCTCCTTCTCCTGTTCTTTGCACTCCGCAAACACTTCCGTGTGTCCCGTCTAACCACAAGCTGTGTCCAGCCTGGGGCGGAGCACTAGCCCAGCGCAGCCCCTGTCCCCAGGCTCGCCTAGGAGGCGGGTGGCCCCCTCAGCATGACCAGCCTGTGAGGGCGTTCGCGGGTGGCGACAGTGCCCTCGCTGGGCACCGAGACCCCCAGACCTGCCATGGCAGGCAGCCTCTCTCTGACCCCCTCACCCAGACCATTAGGGCGCAGGGAGACGAGACCCACTCTCCGCCCCGTTCTCTGATGGACCCAGCGGGGAGCTTGGTCTTCAGGAAGCAGAACCAGCCCTGGCAAAGTGAAGGCCAGGATCTGCCTCACTGAAGGACTCTGGTGGCCCAGGCTTGCTGAGGAGGACAGAGCCCCAGCCGGGAGGCCGGAAGCCACAGCACCGGGAGCCGTTTTCAGCTCCTCTGAGGCGGTGGCCAGGACAAGTGCTGGGTTCCAAGGCTACAGTCAGAGTCAGACTTGCTCCAAGGGTCACCCCCTCAGGACAGGTGCTCTGACAGCACAGGAAGCCGCCCGTAGCAGGGGGAGGGGCATTACCCCCCACCGTGGGTGTCACTGAAGAATAGGGGGCCGAGGCCAGCACGGGGCTGCTGAAGTCCTTGAATCACCCGGCTGCTGGGCATCTGGAATCTGTGTGAGCCCATGCCCTGAGGCAGGTGTGTCAGGGTCCCGGGCTCCACTACTCCCTGGCTTCCATCTTTCTGCCCTCATACGACACCCAGTTAATGTCTCTGCTCAATCTAGAAACTTTTTTCTTAGACAGAGTCTCACTGTGTTGTAGTCCAGGCTGGCCTTGAATTCACTATGTAACCCAGGCTGGCCTCAAACTCACAGCAATCCTCCTGCCTCAGCCTCCTGAGTGCTGGGATGACAGGCATGAGCCACTATGTCTGGCCAATCTCGAAACATTTTCTTAATGGCCAATAAATAAATAAAATCATAGTTAAGAGTCCCGAGTAGTTAAACAGCTGGTGACGTTGTGCGGGCAGCTGCCCAGAGGACACGGACCGCACGTCTCCTGAGCGGGTGGCCTTATAAGGACAGGTTCAGGAGGAGAATGGCAGGAGGGAGGGCCACAGCAGCGGCTGGGTGGGGTGGGTTCCCCGCTGCAGGGCTGGGTATGCAGCTGGCAGGGGCGCCTGGCCAGGCCCGTCCCGCAGGGGAAGCTGGCAGTGTGCCCCCTCGAGAGACCTTGGAATCAGGGCCAGCACTGCCTGTCGCTCTGACTTCCTGCTGTCATCCCGGCCCCAGCGCTGGCTGCTTGGTCCAGTCCCGGGGACCCACTCCGGGGCAGAGGCCACTTCCCTTTGTCACTCCTCTCCCACTGCCGGGCCAGCCGGTCTGCGGTGCCACCAAGGCTGCTGGGTGGGAGAATTAGGCAACAGCTTGTGGTTTGGGCAGACAGCTAGGCCGGGCGCTCTCGGGTCTCTGGGCGGTGCTGCGTCTCCCCAGGGCAGTGCGCAGCTCAGAGAAGGTGTTAACGAGCAAGGGGGTGGCAGAGTAGGCACAGCTGAGGGAGGGGTTCTTGGCCTGCTCATTGTCACCTTGTCCCCACATGAAGGCACAGAGCCACATCTCCTGAAGGTGGCTCGAAGGCAGGACAGAGGCAGGGAGAGTTTCTGTGGGGACCCTGGGTGGTCTGGACCTCGGGGGGATGAAGCTGGGGCCTGAGGATCTGGGGTGAGCAGGGGTGTGCAGGAGGTGCTGGCCCGAGGAGGGGACTCTGAAGCCTTCCAACCCCATGAGGGAAGATGGCCCAGGTCTTCCCGGAGGCGCGTCTCACACAGGGACAGGAGGCAGGAGGGCTGGCCCCGTGAGAGACGCCAAGGGGTCTCCCCTTGCCCTGACAGAGTCACTGGGCCCTAAACCCATCACTTCTGAGCCACTGTCTAAGGTAAGCATGCTCCTCTACCCAGCCCCAGCCTGCAGAGGTCCGCGGGGAAACCCTCCCGGACAGCCAGGAGGCCCGGCCAGCAGCGGGCCGAGCAGGGAGGAGGCCCCAGAGAGGCCGCAGCTCCTGACTCCGCTGATCCGCAGGGGCCAACTGAGCCCAGGGTGTGTCCCCCTCCTGCCCTGGCCTGGAAGCCCCTCCAGGATGTCGCCAGCTGCGGAAGGCTGCCTTGAGGTGAGGCAGGGTGTCAGGCTCAGCTGGGAGGTGAGAGGAGGCCGCTGCGAGGGTCGGCCACCCCGCGGCCCCGCCCGAGCCCTGGGAGCGGCCACCTCACCTGCACACCAAGTCGAGACAGGAAGTTGGGGTCACACAGGAAGCCTGCCCTGCTGTCACTGTAGACTAGAAATGTCCCCTGTACAACACCGATACAAATCACAACAAACTCCCTATGGGAATGCCAGAGATCCCACAGGAGCTTTGTATCATTTGGGGTGAGGCGTGGCCCCTGGGTCGTAAGCCAGATCCTGGCTCCCGAAGGTGACCGTATCCCAGTTCCCAGGCGTGAAGGGCTCTGCGGGGGTAATTAAGCTAAGGCTCTGGAGGTGACGGGTTAGCCCAGGTTACCAGGTGGGCCCACTGTCACCACTGGGATCCTTCAGAGATCGTGGGAGGGGACACATAAGGGACCTAGGGCTTCAGCCTGAGGCGCGTATGAGACAGACAGCCGTCTGTCAGAGTCGGGGCCACTTTAGCCGGGCCTCCGGGGGAGCAGAGGTGGCACAGGAGAGTCAGTGCGAGAGGACGTGGGGAGAGCAGGGACGGGGGCAGCTTTGCCTCCTGCTGCACCCGGCCAGGTCCCTCCCGCTGGCCTGGCCTCCCCTGCGGGCGTCATCCGGTCCCTTGCCTGCCTTCAGGTAGCTGGAGTGTCACCTGCTGCTGCTTCCCGGAGCCACCTGAGCCCTGTGTCAGCTGTGGAGACCGCTGCTCCACCACATGGCACTTCCGGAGGGGCCGAGTCCCAGGGACAGCTTCTCCCAGGTGCTCTGAGTTTTTGGGGTTTTTTTTTTTTTTGGTCTTTTTGAGACAGGGTCTCGCTGTGCAGTTCAGGCTGGCCTTGAGCTCCCTTTGTAGCCCAGTCTGGTCTCGAACTCACACCAATCCTCCTGCTTCAGCCTCCTGAGTGCTGGGATTACAGGTGTGCGCCACCATGTCCGGCTCTGAATTTGATTACAAAGCCAGAGAGATTGGTCAGCTTCCCCTCGCCATGAGAAACTTCCTGAGAAAAATGAACTGAGGAGAAAAGGATTGTTCGGACTCACGGTTCCAGAGTCCATGGTCACTCAGCTGCACGGCCTGCGGCCTAGGCTGCGGCAGGACACGCAGGGCACCCAGGAAGGGGGCGGGGTCCCAACAGCCCCTTCAAGCGACACCACGACTGACTTCCTCCTCTCCCCAGGCCCTAGCTCTTAAAGGTTCCACACCTCTAGCAGTGCCATCACCACGGACCAAGCCTTCAGTCCAGGAGCCCTGGGGGATATCAAGGACCCCAACCGTACCAGCTGGGGACCTGTTAGCCATATGATGATGAGGCTGATGACCAGGGTAAGTGACTGCACACACAGTGAGGAAGGTTCCAAGGGCGTCTGAATAAGTAGCTGATAGAGACAGTGCCACAAGCTCCCTGCGCACTGCCCCACCCAGCACAACCACAAAGTCTCGTATCTGTATTTTATGAATAAATAACTAAGGCACAGAGGGGCTGGGGGGCTTTCCAAAGATCACACACTGGCTAGTGATCAGCTGTAGTTTCAGCCCAGCTCTGACTTCGAGGTCCATGCTTCTAAACTACATTATTCTGCTTCCTAAAACATATTTTAAACTAATAATCTGTTCATTGATGTCTGGATTTGTTTGTTTGTTTTTTGAGACAGGGTCTCACTAGGTAATTCAGGCTGGGCTTCAACTCACTATGCAGCCCAGGCTGTCCCTGAACTCGCAGTGACCCTCCTGCCTCAGTCTCCCAAATGTTGGGATTACAAGTGTGCTCCACCATGACTGGCCTGCTGTCTCATTTTTAATCAAACAATTATTTTCCAGGGATGGAAAGGCTGGCGTAGGCGGGAGAAGAGGGGAGCGGTGGGACGGGCGAGGGCCCTAACAATTGGGCAGCTCTACTGCAGGGGACTTAATAAAGAGGTAGACTGAGGCCAGGTCAGTTTAATCAGAACCAAAATAACTTTGGCCCTAAAACTGCTTCTTAGAAATTGAACTTTAATTGTACTGTCTTTTCCAAAGCTAGTTTTATTTTTGGCAACAGAGACACATGACCCAACTTTATGCCATCCCGCTGATTTTCTCAAATAGTTTTGCAGTGCCTTAAAGTTATTCAAAGCACATTTGAAGGCCAAAGAATACCTTTCATATGATTTCAGCTGGCGGACACTGGGGCTTTGTGGAAAACTCCAAGGGCATGGATGGGGCTGAGGGGACCGGGAGCAGTCCCAGACTTGTTATGGGGGCCGCAGAAGTCTCCGGGACACCTTCAGACAAGTGGTCTGAGCCCTGAGCAGTGTTGGTGTTTCTGTTTGTGATTTCACGGCCCCAAGTGCAGCCCCTTTTGGGTACAGTGGCTGAGAGGTCTGGACTCTGTGGAAGCTTCCTGTGGGGTGACCGGCAAAGACAGGCACCCTTGTCTTAGCCTCTGACCTCTGCAGGCTCCAGCAAGTGGCCTTTTCTTTTTCTTTTTTGTTTCTGGTCTTTTTGAGTCAGGGTCTCCCTATGCAGTTCAGGCTGGTCTTGAGCTCCCTCTGTAGCCCAGGCTGGTCTCGAACTCGCAAAGATCCTCCTGCCTCAGCCTCCTGAGTGCTGGGATTACAGGCATGCACCACCATGCCCAGCCATGGCCCTTTCAATTCCTGGGAGCCTCTAAAGGACAGGTGTGGAGCAGCTGGAGACCGCTCTGGTCCCAACCTTCCTATCTCCCAAAAGACGAAAGATGACGTAGGGCCCAGACTATCAGAACAGAAGGGGGCCTAGACTGGCTGGTGTAGAAGGCCATCCACATTGGCTGTGGGCCCATGACATTGTGAAGAACCCCAGAGAGTTCCTTACATAAAACAAACTGAGCTTGTAGGGTAGTCCCAGCTACTCAGGAGGCTGAGGCAGGAGAACTGCTTGGATCTATGTCTCAAACAACCAATGAAGCAAAACCCAGGAGGCTGTCAAGCTGTGCTTTCTGAATCAGAGTATCTCACGGGCAGTGGCCAGGTCTGGAACATTCTGACCTCATCAGAGTTTTCTACTTTTCCTTGGGAAACGGAGCCCCTGAGAGCCCTTGAACTCAGACATCCACAGAAGTCAAATCAGAACTCAGAGCTTTGGATTCTTAGTTAAGATGTTTTTTCCACCGCACGACCAGGAGCCTGCAGAACTCAAAAGAACTGGCCATCTTTTGTTGTTTTAATTCCCTCAAAAGCAAAGTTATTAACACAGAAAGAGGGTCGAACCCAGGCAATGTGCGAGGCTTGTATGAAAGCTCAGTCCCACCTTGCCCTCCTGGAGCACGCAGGCCTTGGTGATGTTTGTGTTTTTACAATGAACTTGCGGAGCCTTGCCTGTGTAGCTCCAGTTTGGGTCGATGACACAGGACGGCTGCTGGCAGTGGGCAGCTGCCCTGGCGATGTCCGCCCGGCAGCCCCGCGGTCACTGGGCGCAGGCCACCAGCTCCTCCAGGGCCTGCTCGCGGCGGTTGCCGTGCACCAGCAGCACCTCCTTGACCCGCTGCGGCTGGAAACCCATGTCGCTGAACTGCTCCCAGAGGCGCAGGAACTCCCCGGCCTGCGGAGGGGTGGAGAGAGCTGGGACCCAGGCAGCCCCCTCCCGGTGCCGCTGCGGCCCCACAGACCAGGCAAGCCGGCCCCTGCACGGCCCCTGCTGTGTTCTTGCACCTCTGGGGTGATGCGGCCTCTGACCCCTCTCCCTCCGCGCAGGGAAAAAGGCCCTGGCCTGGCCTCCCCTCCACCTCCTGCTCCTCCCAATGCCCTGTGCTTGGGTGTGGGTGCAGGACAGGCAGCCCCGGGACCCGTCCCACGTCCAGAGACTGGCTTCCCTCCTCCTCTGGCCCCAGGCCTGAAACGTGGTCTCCAGCTGCCCTCTTGCTGATTCCACCTCCAACCACACGTCATGGCCTGTCCTGCCGCGGCTGCTCTGGGGACGGCTGTACCCCATCCCTCTGTCTCCCGGGACCCCGGCAGGAAGCACGGCTGACCTTGCTCTCAGAGAACTGGAACAGCTCCATGGCCTCGTCCACCAGGCCCTCCTCATAGCCCTGCTGCAGCAGCCTCTCCCGCGCGCTGAGGTAGCCGAGGAACTGGACGGAAGGGGCAGAGAGGACGGGCTGGTGAGAGGACGGAGGAGCAGCGGGTGGGGTGCAGTCTGTGCTCCGGGCCAGGCGGGCTGGGAAAGCTCCACATGCAACGGAGCCCAGAGATCCTCAGCGCCAAGGGCCCCAGAGCAGTGGCCTCCTTTGCAGACGTGGGGACAAGCGGACTCTGCTCCCCACCGCAGTCCCAAGACCGGGGCTGGAATCCAGGACAGGGGCTTTCAGGGTGTGGGGAGCTACTACCAGCGATCAGGCTACACACTCCCCCTCCCAGTGAGCACTCCGTGTGTGCGGGCCCCCTCGCCAGCCCAGACACTTCTCTGTCCCCAGCACACCCGGAGCCTCTACAGCACGGGAAGGGGCGGTGGGCAGGGGAGGGGCCCAATGGCCCAAATGCTGTGTGGCACTTGCTGTTTAAATCATCAGGGCTCAGCTGGGCGTGGTGGCGCACACCCGTAAGCCCAGCACTCGGGAGGCTGAGGCAGGAGGATCGTTGCAAGTTCAAGGCCAGCCTGGGCTACAAAGTGAGCTCAAGGCCAGCCTGAGCTGCATAGTGAGACTCTGTCTCAAAAAGACAAAAAAAAAAAATCATCAGGGCTCCTTTACCCTCAGGAAACAGCGGGTAAAGTTGGTGGATGCTGAAGGGCCCGCTCCACCCTGTCCCAGCCACTGGCTGCTCCAGCATAGGCCCCTCAGGAAGCCTCTGGAACCTGGGTCTCCACTGGCGGTGTCCCTGCTGCTCCCAGAGCACCCTGAGCTCCCTGCCTGGCCTACACAGCTCCGTGATCGCTCCACTTCCTCTTCCCCTCCCTCACTTCCTGCGCCATGTGAGAGGGGCTGGTTGGTCTTGCCCGCCACTATGTCCCCAGCCACTGGGTCCCGGGGCCCAGCGTGGCAGCTGGAAGGAGCTCTTCAATCAACAGATGCTGCGTTTACGAAATGAATGAAGAATGACCTTGAAGGAACTCACAGCTTAGTGGGGGAGATAAACCAGATGCAGGACAACATGAGGGCCAGGAAAATCAAAGCAGGGTTTATAGGCAGTTGGTGCCAGACAAAGGCTCCTGCCTGGGGGAGTTAGGGGTGTTCGCAGAGGAGGAGCGGGGCGGGTTCCTGCAGACCTTCAGAGCGTGCAGAGGGCAGGAGGGCGGGCTGGCTGGTTTTCAAGCTGCTGCAGCTCCACTGTCCCAGCTGCAGTCAGAGCTGCCTGGGAGACAAAGGCCAGTGCGAAGGCCAGAGGGACGGCCTGGGTCTCCAGGACCTTGCTCTGAGCACACAGTGAGAGCCCCACACCCTAATCTCCCTCTCAGGTGAGGAAGTGGAGGTCCAGGGAGGGCAGGTGATTTGAGGATGAGGCCCTGGATCCCTGAGCTCTCTTGTCCTGCAGGCAGACAGCGGGCAGGCCGGGAGGAGGGCGGTGAGGGCAGGGGAGGATGGCGGAGGCTCCTTCAGCCTTTGGCTTATCCACCACAATGGTTCGCAGCCTTGGGGCTCATGGCACCCTCCCTGCATGCTTGGAAAACTACCGACCTCACTTCCTGGGCCACACTCCTGAGGCTCCGAGGTCTCTGGTCTGGGGTGTGGCTGGGACACCCGGATGTGCTAATAGCTCTCCAGGTGATTCTCAGGCATGGCTCCAGGGACAGCTGACACCAAGCCATGCCGCATGTCGGGACCACCCTCAGGACAGGCCTGGGGATGCGCATCTGTGAAGATGCTGCGGCTCGGTCTGCTTTTGGGGTCTGCGGGATTGTAGAAGCTACCAGGCTTGCCTCAGGCCCCCAGGTAGGTGAGAGTGTCCTGAGGTCCCTGAAGTCACTGGTCTCATACACACGTTCCTCCTCAATCCTGTGAGTGCAGGAACCCCCAAAGAGGGGCAGGAATAGCACAGCAACCTCGCAGAATGGAGACGACCGAATCCAATGTTCTCAGACTAGGGGCTGGGGCAAAGACGGTGTTCAGTTTAGCCACTGGGGTGACCATGCTGGAGTTTTTCCTTCTGGAAAGGACCCAGGGTGATGAGCCTGGAGCAGAGCAGAAGCAGGAGTGCAGGGAGGGGCAGGAACCCTCCCACCCCCGCCTGGCAGCAGCATGCCCTGCTTCTGGCTGGGCATGCTGCTTCAGCCAGCATGCGAGTCACCCTCCTGCCATCCCTCCCCACAGAGCAGGCCTCAGCCTCAGACCTGCGGACCGGACCTGTATGCTGCAATCAGTGACTACGAAGAAGATGCCCAAGCCCTCTGATGGTGGGGGCAGAGACAGGAAAAAAAGGAGTAAATGCCACTGCTCTGGAACCAGCTGTCTAACCAGATGCTTAGAAAACACCAGGAAGGGGATGTCACACTGGGGTAGGGGTGTGCATAATGGTGGTCATGCTACTTCCTGCCCCGCCCCCAGCCCCCGTGCTTCCCTTGTACCTACTGGGTCATTTATCAGATTCTCAGCCCAGCCTTCAAGCTGCCCTCGGTCTGGCCCTGAGTCCCCTTCCGTCTTACTTCCCAGTGGTCTGCCTCAAGCACGCTCTCCTCCGAAAGCCTGGCTGGATCAGGGCCTCTTCTTCCACCTGCCTCTCTTGCCTGGAATATCATCCCTTTTCCTCACGTCAGCGTCAGTCTCATCTGGCTTTGAAGTCCAGCTCGAAGCTTGGCCCCTCCGGGAAGGGGCTGAACCCTGGGACCTCCTCTCGGTACATCAAGAACGGCCATAAGTTCTTCGTAGTCCTCCCACCCAGAGGCAGAGTCTATCTTCCCACCTTTTAAGTCTGGGCTGGTCTAAGACGTGCTTTGGGACGCCGGGTCAGACGAAAGCGACCCTGCCCACTGCAGCCAAGGCTGTGGGAGGCCGTGCCCCTTTCAGGCATGCTCTCCGGGGACCCAGTGGTCGGTTCCCTGCAGCCATGCGGCCTTGGTGACAAGTACCACCAACACTGTGCCATCGGTGAGGTGATCAAACGGTCCAATTAAGTCAGCAATCTGTCGCCTCAGTGAGACCAGCAGAACCACCTAGCCGTGTCCAGCCCCGAACTGTCAACCCAGAGAACTGTGAGCAAATAAATGGTGGTTGTACTGAGCTGCTACATTTTGGGGTTTGTTACAGAGACCCACGTCCCCCAGGTCTCCCGTTTCCACAGGCAAACCCTGGCTGAAGTAGACGTATAAAGGCCCAACCACGATGTCAACCTGCTTAGGACTCAGAGGGGCTGGAGGGGCCTCGGATCGGTGGGGCTGGCAGGTGCTTCTTTGGCTTCTGTCCCCTGTCTTCCACCGGACCCGTCCCAAGGCCCTCTTTAAAAACATCCTGCCTGCCGAACTCCACCTGTACCCGCTTCCAGGGAAACCCACCCAGCGCGCAGCTCTAGATGTGCCTTGGTTTCCCCACTGGCTTTCGGCCTACCCCAGGAAGCGCCCAGTAAATAGGCGGGACTAAGGGATGGTGGGTACATGGGAAGAGAGAGGCGGAAGTGGGTAAACTGTTCACTGGGGGGGCTAGAGCTGTGCTCCCCAGTGTGGTCGCCCCTGGTCGTATGTCACTATGTGAATTTGAATTTAAATTAATTACAACTAAATAAAATTTAAAATTCAGTTTCTTAAGTCACCGATTGCGAGTAACCACCTGTGGGTAAAGGCTACTATATTGGACAACACAGATTTTTAAAAAAAAATCTCTCAGCTGGACGCGGTGGCACATAGCTGTAATCCCAGCAGCCTAGGAGGCTGAGGCAAGAGGACTGCCGGCTGGGCTGGAGTCCCAGCCTAGGCAACTTCACAACTTAGTGAGAGCCTGTCTTAATGTTAAAAAAAAAAAAAAAAAAGGACATGGGGATGTAGCTCAGCACAAAAGCCCTAGTTTCAATCCTCAGTACTGCAAACAAACAACCCACTAGAATAAGTTCTCCTGGGCCTTTTTGGAGAGATTTCTGACCGTCCAGAGCTCCAGCTCCCTGTCCTTGGGGCAGGAACTGGACAGGGGTAGAATACTGAGCATCTGCCAGTGGGCATGGGAACCGGTGAAAAATTCCTGCAGGGGAGGCACCCGAAGGGTCTGGAAACCCGCTCACAAACCCCAGTAATAACACCAGGCTGAGGTTGTACCTCTAAAAAGAAGGGAGCAAAACTTCTTTAACCGAAAGGCCAAAGCCCCACAGCTACTCACCAGACCGCAGCCCCCACTCACCTGGCTCAGGCTCTGTCTACCCGTCCTCTGCAGAGCCGTGATGGCTCTGGCCAGCGGGTACCCCAGGGCCACGACGGGCCCGATGAGCTCCTGCTCCTCCTGGCTCAGAGCGGACAGCAGGTCAGCTGTAGAATCAGGGTGCGATCTGCAGGGCTGGAGAGGCTGGGGTGTCTCCCTAAGAGGTGGCAGGCAGGTGTACGGGCTGAGGGACTGAAATAGACAGGCTGGTGTCAGTTACCACAGGAGATGCTGGCTGGGATGGACATTTCAAAGGGTGGCTTTGAGTACCACCTCCTGTACGGAATGGGATGCTGGCACCGCTGAGGGCTGAGTCCTGCAGACCCCAGCTCCCCCACACATACACCCAGGTCTCTCACTTTACTCCTGTGCAAAATGGGCATCTCACATGGACCCTACAGAAGTGTTAGGAGGCTTCACGGAGGCAGTGTGAGCTGACAGTAGGTGGTAAAGCAGTGGGCACCGGGCACTGTCACCGAGGCTACAGTTCATTGACTGCCAATGAATGTGACAGGAAGCTGGGCATGCCGGCATACACTTGCACTCCCAGCTACACTCTCAGGAGGCTGAGGCAGGAAAATCATTGGAGTCCCGAAAGTTTGAAACCAACATGGGCGATACAGTGAGACCCAGTTCCTTCTCCCCCATACAAAAAGAAAGGAAAAAAAAAAAATAAAACAAGAAATCTGATAGAACCATCCTCTTATCTCATTTAACAGATACCAAGATCAAGGTGCAGAGAAGTTAATGACCTCAGACACAGCACACATTTGGGCCATGGCTCTGACCTGGAGGATTCCTTGCCCTGCATCTCAGTGAGATCTGGAGTTCACCAGCACTGGGGGGCCGCAGGGCACAGGCTAGCAAAGCCCTGGACACGGCCCTGTCCCCTCCCTCAAGGAAAGCCAGGGCGGCCTGTGGATGTGGGCACGAGTTCCCCAGCCATCCCCACCTCAGGGGTTCTCCTGCCCCTCCCCTCCCTCGGGTGGGGAACGTCCACATCCACCACTTGCCTAAGGTCACACACTAGTGAGGGCAAAAGCCAGACCGCAAGTCTGGCTCTGGTTAATTCCACCTCGCCTTACTCTGCAGCAACCCCCGGCCCGACTTCAGCGCAGAAAGCTGTGCCCAAGTGCCACCTTCTGCTGCCAACCCTGTCCCACCCCATCTGCTGCGGGTCTAGGTTTTATAGAGTCTGGGGCTTAAACAATCTGGAGGGGACCTCTTAAAGAAGGACACACGGCTATAAACACACTGGGGACAGGGCCCTGGACGGGACAGAGCGAGGGCCCTGAGGCTGCCGCCTCTGTGGCTCGGCTGTGAGCGTCCAAGTCGGAGCCTCCCACCCTGGGCAGCCTGGCCTTCTCTCAACGCCCGATGCCCGTCTGGTGCTGGGTCCTGTCCCGCGTCCGCTTGGACGCCCTGTGCTGAGGGTTGGCTCTCCCCCGTGCGTCTGTCGGGAAGTCGCCCCACCGGGAGCCCTCCTGCACTGACCCTCCAGCTGAGCGGTCGGGGCGGCCTGGAGCATCGGCTTCTTCCTTAACTCCCCAGGCATTCTCCGAGCACCCGCTGCGGGCCAGGTCGGAGCGAGGCCCCTCTCCCATTAGACTCCCCCAGATGATCCCGGTGGCCGAGCGGGCACAGCGGGAGCCCGGGGGAAGGGGGCACCGCAGCGCCCGGCGGGGCGGAAGGCCCGGCGTCTCGAGGCCGCGGCCGCGTGCTTACCGCGACCGTGGACTTGTGGCTTCGCAGCGGGGCCATGGCGCCGGCCGTGGAG